TCATATTTTATTTACTAAGTACAGAATGACTTCAAGACAACTCAAAATTAAGCCTCAAGCAGTGTGGAATAGGCTAACTCCAGCATTCTAGTGGTTGTGCTTCAAAACTCCACTTGCAAGTCAATTATACTGCATGTAAAATTGTTGGGAACTGCCTTGCCTGGTTTCAGAAGCTGTAATCCCTTGTGGCTAAGGCTGAGTAAAGGACCTTGGGACCATAAGCCACTTAACAGACAAAGCTTATCTTCCTTGTAGGGGCACCACCTCTGCCCCCTTTCTCTTCACCCTGCTTGACCCTGGGAGGATGACTGGTTGCCAATGACAGGTAAGAGTCCTCAAAAGAGGGACAACCTAAGACAGGCACAGTTGTGAAGGGGCCCTCAGGGAAGGACTTGGGGGGCTATAGAAAAAGGGGTTGATGGACACTCACCCCTCGGCTTTGACATAGCCTGAGTCCTCATTCTGTCTGAAAGAAGTCTCCTAATCTCTTGTCTGCCTTACTTCCCCTGCCTAACTTAAGCCTAAAACAATGCCTTAAGCCTGAAATAATGCTATGAAACCTATTTTGCTAATACCCTCAATTTAAATGATAAGGGTCCAAACAGGAAGTTTGTTCCCCAAAGTTTTATGGCCCTTTAACTATCTGACACTGACTCAGAATAAGCCCTCAGAGTTCTTTGAATGTTATCTATTATTTAATCATTTCTGCCAGACAAAGACTGATGAGCTTTACACACACACTCTGTATTCTTGCACAAATTGAACCCAATAAAAGCTTGTCAAGGCAAGGGTCAAGGCACTCTCCTCTTCAGAGAGTGGCCAAGGAGCTCCAAGGCTTTTTCTCTTGAGAGAGAAACCCAGCTGTTCCTGTTCCTCCACAGGACTCAGTAGTCCATGTGAATTTATCTTGTCTCATCCATAACGCTACGGACCCCAAGAGCCAGGATCCACGTTATAAAATGCATTCCCCCATACTGGCCATTTTATTTTGTGGTTAGGTGTTTAGGTTAGCTCCTAAAAGTTGATTGGGGCCATAATAAAATTAAAATATTATACACCTGCAATTTTGATTAAGTCTAAAACAAAACTATTAGTCTTGTTTTTCCGACACCATATCATTTAAACAAATATAGTCAAACTTGTTTTGTTTGCTTGTTTTCAGCTTGAAAAAAACAAAACTGTATTGTGTCACAGTGCTGGAGGCTAGGTGTCTGAAAAGTTGCTTCCTTCTGACATCTGCGAGGGAAGGATTTGTTCTGTCTCCTGGTCTCTGCTGGCCTCGGGAACACCAGGGCTTGCAGGTGCTGTTCTCCCTGTGTCATCACAGTGTCTTCCTCTGCATGTGTCTGGGTTTGCCCTTCTTACAAGGCACATTGCTTTGTCAGTAGTCTCCTCTTTTTTAAAAAATTTTATTTATTATGCCATTACAGTTGTTATATTCCCCCCTTCATTCCCCTCTACCCTGCACCCCCCGCCCCCACCATTCCCCCCTTTAGTTGATGACCATATTTCTCAAGTTCTTTAGATTCTATATTTCCCATACTATTCTTGCCCCCCCCATCTATTTTCTACCTACTGTCTATGCTACTTATTTTCTGTACCTTCTCCCCCCTTCTCCTCCTCCCACTCCCCTGTTGCTAACCCTCCATGAGATCTTCATTTCTATGTTTCTGCTCCTGATCTAGCTGTCCTTTCAGTTTGCTTTTGTTTTAGGTGTGGTTGTTAATAACTGTGAGTTTGCTGTCCTTTTACTGTTCATATTTTTTATATTCTTTTTCTTAGATAAGTCCCTTTAACATTTCATAAAATAAGGGAATGGTGATGATGAACTCCTTGAATTTGATCTTATCTGAGAAGCACTTTACCTGTCCTTCCATTCTAAATGAAAGGTTTGCTGGATAGAGTGATCTTGGATGTAGGTCTTTGGATTTCATGACTTGGAATACCTCTTTCCAGCCCCTTCTTGCCTGTAAGGTCTCTTTTTGAGAAATCTGCTGACAGTCTGATGGGAGCTCCTTTGTAGGTGACTGTCCCCTTCTCTCTTGCTGCTTCTAAGATTCTCTCCTTCATTTTAATCTTGGCTAAAGCAATTATGATGTGCCTTGGTGTGTTTCTTCTTGGGTCCAACTTCTTTGGGACTCTCTGAGCTTCCTGGATTTCCTGGAAGCCTATTGCTCTTGCCAGATTGGGGAAATTCTCCTTTATTCTTTGTTCAAATAAGTTTTCCACTTGTTGCTGTTCCTTTCCCCCTTCTGGTACCCCTATAATTCGGATGTTGGAGAGTTTAAAGGTGTCCTGAAGGTTCCTAAGTCTCTCATTTTTTTGAATTGTTTCTTCATATTTCTTCCTTCCTTCTGGTTCACTCCCTTGATTTGAGTCCCAGTTTCCTTTTCATCACTACTGGTTTTCTGTGCAATTCCCTTCATTTCAATTAGTTTAGCCTTCATATGTTCCTCTAATTTGTGACTAAAATCAACCAGTTCTGTGAGTATCCTGATCGCCAGTGTTTTGAACTGTGCATCTGAAAGTTTTGCTATTTCTTCATTGCTTAGAGTTATAGGCTCTGGGGCTTTGAGATCTTCTTGAGCCATTTTTGGTGTGTTAGCGCCCATTAAGTATGAGGAATGGAGCCTTAGGTGTTTACCAGGGCAGGGCTGCCCAGGTTGCTGGGTTGTTATGCTGTATGTGGGGGCGGGGTCAGAGGGGGGAAATAGTGGCGCCCTCTACTGCCTCCCGCCACTGGGGCCTGCTCAGTCCCATCTCACTGCCCACTCCCTCGCTGGTCTATCTGTGCATGAATTCGCAACCACAGTCAACCCGCCACCCTGTGCCCTTGCTGGGTCCGCCGGTCACTCACTGGGTTGCTCACTGGGTCTGCCCCTTGCAACCCCACACCTGGGATCCACGTGCCTGAGTCCATCTGACCGAGTTTTCCTGTGCAACCCCTCTCCACCAGCTGCTAGCTTTGCCCCTCTTACCAGTCAGGCTGAAGAATTCGTTGTTATCAGACTTCCAAAAAGTTCAATCTTCTGTGTTCTGGCTGTGTTTTCTGTTGCTAATATTTTGTTGTCTCTAAACTTGGTTGTGTGAGAAAGCACAGCATCTCAACCTATTCCTCCATCTTGGCAGAAGTTCAAACATGTTTTTAATAGACACATAATCCTTAAACCTTTCAGCGTGGTTGACCAGGCTCAAAGTCTAGCCTTATTTGAGCGATGAAAAGTCAGAACAGAAGGAAGAAGCTATAATGCTAACCTCAAAGCCAGGTACACTGTGAGCCTAGACTGATGAAAGGAACACTGATGAAATATGGAGAATTTGTATTCCTAGGTGGGGATGAGCAACTAAGGTGTGCACAAAAATAAGGGGAAAGGTAGGATGGAGCAGTGAGTCCCAGAGCCAACAAAAGGCCAGCCTGCTTGACTGGGGAAGGAAGGAAGAGTGGGTAAAACTTCCTGTAACAGGGTTAGAGAGAGGGTTAGTCCTAGGAGTAATGACTATATAGAGACAAAGATAACTGAAAGGGAGGCTTAGGAAAGGATCCTTATTTTAAAGTAAAGGTCATATTTAAGGGAATTTTAGAACTGAAAACTGCTGTTGCTATTGCTGTGACCTTACTACCTAATAGTTAACATTTACTGTTTTCTCCAAGAGGACAAACAGTTGAAAGTTCTTCATATGGTTATGTAATCCTCATTTAATTAATGGTAAGGATCTCCATGAGGTGGAGAGTACCAAACAGAACTGTGAGGCAAGAGTCTAATAAAAAGAAGGCAAGGGACCTTCCCAGAACAGAGAATAGAATGCACACTTGTCAGGGCTTTATGTTTTATCCAGTTTGTTCTGTAAGTTTAATAACAACTCTCTTCTTATTCAGTCTCAGACCACACAAAGACTGGGCCTGTCTTTCTAAATAAAACCAAGAGCCAAACTCTCACTGTAGGCTCAAATAATGTTTGTAGATAATGATAATGCCATACTTTTGGAGTCCAAGAAACCTGACTTCAAGTCCCGGTCTGAGGCTCTTCATAGTTAATAGTTGATCTCAGGCACCAAAAAAAAAGTTAATTTTTACCCTTTTTTGAATGCAGTCTTTAGTATTCTCAAAAAGGAAAATGAACTAAATATAAGGATTAATATGTATTTACTTCCCCACATCTCAAAAACTCATCATTCCTTAACAGCAAAGCTAAAAAGAAAGCAAAATAATATCTCTCCTAAAAAATAAAACAAATCCTTCATCCTATCTACCTAGGCTTAGAAGTCAGCATGACTCCACCAACAGAAACTAAGATTGGAATTGAGACATTTTGCTCTTTCTTGGCCTCCAAATTTAGGAGTCAAAAACAAAACCAGTGTCTTGCTCTTTTCCCTAAAGAAACTCAAGTCAGACTCTGGCCTCAATGTGCTCCAATCACTCCTGAGGATGGGCAGGAATGTCCTGAATTTACCCAAACTTCACATGGTGACAACTATCATCTATGACACATGCAAAAGATCCAATGTGAAACTGATTATTTCAAAACAAAACAAAATATTGAAATTTGTAGCATGGTATTCAGGAGGTGGACAATTTACTGAATCTCTGATTCCCTTGCAGCCCCAGGAACAGTCAAGTTTGCATGATAATGGCAAAACTAGAAGTATGAACAATACAGACGAACAAAAGCCACAATATCCCTTAAGTACACTTGGGCTCTGGAACATGCCGACACAAATAGGCTTTCTCCCCAGCACTGGCTCTCCCAGTAAAGTGCAGCTTCGCCTGCCCAGCTGGAGCTGAGGTTTGGCTGCAAAGACCCCAACACAGTGCCTAGGGCATTCAACCTGTCCAGTTGGAAAGGGCTCTACACTCAGAAGTGCCCCACATTTGGCTGTTTTGCTGTCTTGAAATTCTTTTTTTTTTATGTATACTTGTTTTATTTATAATTTGTCATGTTTTAGGGCACCAAAAGTGATTCTAATGGTTGCTATTTAACAAAAGAAATTTTAACCTCATCTTAAATCCACTGATCCATTTTATTCAATGGCAGTGCTCAGTGTGAAAAGGAACATAAAAACAAACATGCACACGACTGCACAGTTTTCATAAAGGTTTATCTCATTATTGGTGGGTAGCTCATTGAACAGTTAAATGCATTTAAATAATGTATAGGAGGCTGCACAACAGCAGCCCTGGTAACTAGACAGACAACCAATTCAACTAGAAACCAGCTAACAAGTAACTGTAAATATTTAAAAGATAGCTCTTGTTTAGCTCATCCTTTGTTTTGATCACCTTCTTGGAGGAAAAAAATCCTGCTGGTCACACCGGAAATATACTAAGGCCAAATCTTCTGATATCCATTCCCAGAAGTTTCTTTCAGCTGGATTAAGCCTCCAACTCCATGGCAAGCCCAAATTTGTGGCCTCCAGCATTCATACTCTTCCCATCTACCAGCGCAGACAATGTAAACTTCACACCAGTCCTCAGAGTCTGAGTGTAGCCCACTCCTATTAAACTAGAGTTGTTGACTTTTGCAGAAATGGAAGGAGTGGGATCCAACTGATACTTAGTGTCAATGCCAAAGCGAGTGCAGTTGGTACCTGATGTCCAAGCAAGGTTTACTGAAGTGTCAAGATCTTCACATACTTTCTGATAAATTGAGCCTCCAAATTCTGTCCCATCGCTGACATTAGTGTGTAGCTGGAAGTTCCCAGTCCTGTAGCCCATTGCAAAGTTATTCCTTGTCAGCTTTGATTTGGCACTGTCAAAGGTCATCTGGTATCCAGCAAGCCAGCCCTCCTAACTAAAGACAGCTGAGCCATGGATTGCAGGTCCAGCAAAATCAAAGTCAACATCGCAACCAAGGTTTACACATTGCATCTTGTAAGAAGACTTGATTTTACCACTTTTCTTTCCAGTGTTTGGTGAAAAAGTGGCATCAAATGTTAGTTTCAAACCCTGACAAATCTGGTCTTCGATTGCGATTTCCGTTCCCAGAGTGTTATCAGTGTTCCATTTCTCTGTGAAAGTTAGACCATACTCACACCATTTATATTCAGTCTCCAAGGTCCCAGTAACTTTACCAGTGTCTGTATTAGGTGAACCAGATGTTGAGAATTCCACACCACTGCAGGACTTTGTCTTCACATAGAGTTTCACCAACCCAAAACCAAATCTTCTGTTGAAAATATCTCTGGCAGCTTTGCCAAGGTCAGCGTATGATGGAGGGATACACATTGGCCGTGCGCAGGTCTGTCCATAGATTGCCATGGCGAGGCTGTGGAAAAAGTTGATCTAGTGGTCTCCAGAGGGGGGCCATCGCAGCTGTTTGGCACGCTTGGGGTTGGGCTGAGGCTGCCGCGACTTGAGGGTGAAGTGAAGGAGACACCGACCGGCCCATCCTTGAAATTCTCAATAATTAATCATTTCAATAATTCTTAACAAAGGACCCTGCATTTTCATTTTAAACTAGGTCATACAAATTATGTAGTTGGTCTGATGATGCCTTACACAGGTGAGTTCAATTCACAGCAACAACTGGCGACCTGTGCGGGCAGCCATCACATATAACTTAGGGCCAGGACTAACAACTTCCTTTGAAACAGACTAGTTTTTTCATTCTTAGGGAAGAAGGACATGACCCCACACAGCCGCCTCAAAAACACACACAAAAAGTAGCAATAATTCCATTTGAAAGATGGAGTACTTCAGCCAATTAAGGCTAGTATCCTGGTTCTCTCTTACTTCCTATTCGTAGAGGTGGAAGCCATCAGATGCTCATGCAGGGAGATGTTAGTGGCAATGCTATTAGTTCCAGCCACCCAACAAGGGTTGGGTTATGAGGCAGAGAAGCACACAGCAACCACTCCCAGTATAAAGGTAAAAAGCCCAAGGAGACATACTCACATCAAAGAATCAGTTACCCTAAGTAGAAAATGCAGGACATAAATGAAGGTTAATACCCAGGGTCAACCAAAAACTTCAAATAAGAGGAAGTACTTCTTTATTGTTGTGCTTTAAGTAAAAACTGAGGATATAAAGTAAGAGTTGTTTTTTAAAAATTAGAGATTTTTTTAAGAAGTGACAAAACTACTTCTAAATTCTTCATTTTCCTAGTTAGGGCAATTGTTCATAGGAAACCAAAACTATTATTCTAATGCTTAAACTGTTGAAAACTCTTTAGTTTACTTGGAGATTTTATCAAATGGCAGAGACGTGAAGGGCAGACCACCCCTAGCCTCCACAAATGCCCCAAACTCCCAACCCCCAACGAGAACAGAGCCGAAGCACACAGTTACACATATTTTTAGAGAGAAGGTCCCAGGATCAGGACTCTACCACCATCAGGAAGCTACCCTCGGAAACTTGGGTAATTCAATACCAGAGAAAAGTTCCAGATGCTGGAAATCTTGGGCCCAAAACAGTAAACTCAATCAGGTAAAAAACTAACCAAGTTAATCCCAATAAAGAAATTCAAAGTAGTTTTTCTTTCCAATTGCTTTATAAAATACAAACTGTAGACCGGACCCCATTCATACCTGCCATATTCCAAAAGTGTAGCATGGACTCGAGATTCTTCATCAAGCAGCTCCTCTGCTCCCTGTTGGCGTTTGTATTTTCGATGGGGCTTGTAAGCATCCTAAAAAGTGAATGAGACAAAGGAGATACGGAGCATAAGACAACTCTCCTTCTGAACTGGTTGCCAAATGCAAAGTCAGGGTAACGTGTATTTCCCCATCACAACAGTGGGCACTAAGGGTGTCTGCCTTCAAAGACTCTGCTCCTTTGACTTTTAGGTAGCAAATATTTCCACCCAATTGAGTGTTTGTCACCTTTGTTGTAACTTGGTGTTTTTTTTTTGTTCTATGACATTTCAGTATGTTTATGTAGTCAAATGTATCACTTTATAACTTACTTCCAATTCCAGAAATTTTGAAAAAAGTTCTTGTGTGTTAATTTTATATTTAGCCTTTTCATTCATTCAGATTTTGGGGGGGTGTATAATTAAAGGTAGGGATCTAGCTATGGTTTTTCTAAATGGAAAAGCAAGAATCCCAACAGATTTGGAACACACACACACACACACACACACTCCAACACCCTCTTAAACAACTATATAGCACATAGAGGTACTCAATTACTTTATTTAGGTTTTCATCCCCAGGTGATCTGCATTGTCATTCTATCCCAAATGAATGTCCTTGACTGCCAAGCTGGCAGTCAAATAATCCCTTAGTAATATTTGCTGAGGGCTTTGGGTCCAAGTGGGCAATCGTCTTATACAAGCAAGGCATTCTACTTCTGTGTCCCAGGAACTTTTCTTCTCCAGTACCAGAGCTCACCACATCTTATCTCTACCTGGACATCACCAGGACAGGCATTACTATCAGGTTTCTCCAGATAGTAGCATTTTTATTCTAATTAAAATTGTTCCCCCTCTTGATAATTCTGGTTATTATTTTATTTCTTTTAAAAGTATATTTTATTAATTATGCTATTACAGTTGTTCCAATTTTTTTCTTCCCTTTATCGCCCCTCTGCCCTGAACACCTCTACCCTCCAACATCCCCCACACCCTGACCTTAGTTCACATCCATGGGTTGTATGTGTAAGTTCTTCGGCTTCTCTGTTTCCTGTACTATTCTTAACCTGCCCGTCTATTTTATGCCTACCAATTATGCTTCTTTTCACTGTACTTCCAGGTCTCCCATTGATAGCATTCCATGTAATCTCCATTTCTCTGGTTCTATTCCTGTTCTAGTTGTCTGCTTAGTTTTTGTTTTATAGCTTCAGTTGTTGATAGTTATGAGTTTGCTGTCATTTTACTGTTCATAGTTTTTTATCTTCTTCTATTTCTTAGATAAGTCCCTTTAACATTTCATATAATAAGGGCTTGCTGATGATGAACTCTTTTAACTTCACCTTATCTGGAACCTCTTTATCGACCCTTCCCTTCTAAATGACAGCTTTCCTGGATAGAGTAATCTTGGATGTAAGTACTTGCCTTTCATGATTTTTGAACACCGCTTTCCAGCTCCTTTCTGCTTGCAAGGTTTCTTTTGAGAACCAGCTGATAGACTTATGGGAACTCCTTTGTAGGTAACTCTCCCCTTTCCTCTTGCTGCTTTTAAGATTCTCTCTTTATCTTTAATCTTGGGTAACTTAATGATGATGTGCCTTATTGTGTTCCTCCCTGGGTCCAATTTCTTTGGGACTCTCTGAGCTTCCTGGACTTCCTAATTGTCTATTTCCTTCACCAGATTGGGGAAGTTTTCCTTCATTATTTGTTCAAATAAGTTTTCAATTTCCTGGTCTTCTTGTTCTCCTTCTGACACCCCTAGGATTTGGATGTTAGAGCACTTAAAGTTGTCCCACAGGTTCCTAAGCTTCTCCTGATTTTTTAAATTTTTTGTTTCTTCATTCTGTTCCATTGGATGATTATTTCTTCCTTTTTCCCCCCAAATCACTGTTTTGAGTCCTTCTTTCCTTCCCTTCACTGTTGGTTCTCTGTATATTTTGCTTTATTTCACTTTGGATAGCCTTCATTTCTTCCTTCAGTTTGCAACTGAGCTCATTCCGTTCTGTCAGAATCCTGATTACCAGTGTTTGAACTCTGCATCAGATACATTGTCTATCTCATCATTTAGCTCTTTTTCTGGAGTTTTGATCTGTTCTTTTATTTGGGCCATATTCCTTTGTCTCTGTGTACCAGCTATACTGTAAGGGGGTGGAGCCTTAGATATTCACCTGGGTGGGGCAACCCTCTTTGCTGTGTTGTGGCACTGTGGGGGGGGGGTCAGAGAGGGACCAATGCCACTGGCTTGCTTTGCTTTAGCCCCACTTTCCAATGAACTGTCCTGTGAGACTGGGAGTTTCTCCCATTTTGCAAACCCCACAGTATTTTACAGCTGGAAGTTTTGAGTCTTTATTTTCCTGTTCAGCCAGCCCCACCTTGCTGTGTGTCCTCTCTGATCAGCCATCAGTCTCTGCCACTCCTGCAGGTCTGGGTGAATGTTTCTTTAACTCCTTAGTTGTCAGAGTTCCATGCATTCTGATTTTCTGGCCCTTCTGGTTATTTGTTTTAAATATTTTATTTACTTACTTTCAGAGAGAGGGGAAGGAAAGGAGAAAGAAGAATATCAATGCGTGGTTGCCTCTCATGTGCTTCCCACTGGACACCTGGCATACAACCCAGGCATGTGCCCTGACTGGGAATTGAACCAGTGATCCTTTGGTTCCAAGGCCAGTGCTCAATCCATTAAGCCACATCAGCCAGAGCTGTTTACTGTTTTTAAATTGGCAGTTTTCCTTCTTCTGGTTGTGCAAGGAAGCGGAGTGTTTCTACCTCCACCCCCATCTTGACGTGAACCTATTTTACTTTTTATCATGAAATATTCTGAACAGAAAGGAAAAATTCTTTCTGTCACGTATACTATATAATTTCAAGTTTTGTGCAAAAGAAATGAAACAGGGTCTGAGATGGTGCTAGAGGGTTGTTCTTACAGCTTGCTACCATGAATATTCCCTAGATTACTGTTGGTGTCTACATGAGTAGAAAGCTATAAATAACATAAAAGAGATTTATGGGGTAATGAAAAAACATAATGAACTCATATGATGTCAGTTACTGTGTATGCTTTAATTTCCACTGAACTCTGCTATTATAGCTCTATAGATATAGCTGCATTATATAATTGAGCTTAATTGCTATCTTCCATAGTAGTTACTGTTGATAAAGTCAATGAACTGAAATAGGAAATTGGATTCTTCTAAAAAAAAAGGAATGACTCCAAAACAATAGCATACTGAAATCAACAGTTAAAAGGAACTTCTATTCTGCTCAACAATGACAATGTTGACCTTTGTGTAATTTTCCTTACATTCTAAAGCACCTCAAAAACATCTCACACTTTGCAATTTATAATTACCCTGAGAGAGGGTTAAGGCAGATACTATTACCTCCACTTTACTTCTGAAGAAGCAGAGATTAAACAATTTTTTCAGGATTGCTAAAAGGATTTATGCCTGGCCCTAGGTACTCTGGCTACTGGCCCCAAGGTTTTACTACTACACTAACTCGGTTCTGATGGGCATTCTAGTCACCCACCAGCCGTTTCAGCTGAACCCTCTCGTGAGACTCACTATAGAATCTGAAGCTGCCACATGAATTATTACAACAATGTGGACCTAATAAGGATCTAAATAATAATAATTACTATTTAGGTCTAAATAGTAATTTAGACTTAAAAGTCTGAGGTTTCTAGGTTAACTAAAAAGAACTATTACCAAGTGAGTCACCCTTTAAAGTAACAGGAGTCAGGAACACTGATGTCTAGTACTGCTTCTAACACTAACTAGCTGGATGACCTTGGAAAGGCAGTTCCATCAGCAGGTTTGTTTCCTTATTTGTGAAATGAAAGCTGGATTAATGGGTCTTGAAGGAGACTCCCAGTCTCTTCATGTCCTTTCAGTTCTGTAAAGATACTGACTTGGTAACATAATTCCATCATTAACTCAAATTTTGAGATTAAAAAAAAAACAAAACTCTCCACACTTGACATGATTGTACTCTTAAAAAGGTATGCAACATCAACTTATCTTTGCCATTACTAAGAGCAGCACTAGTGATGGCTATCATTTATCAAATGCCAGGCATTCAATACCTGCATGTGCTAGTGCCACCTCATGGCCATATCTTCTTCCTTGATGAGCCCCTAATTCGTCAAATTCCTGACAGCTAGAGTCACCTCAGCTCGTAGAATGTAGTCTAGCTCACAGTGAGTCCTCACCAATCTTACTAAGTGAAGACCTGGAGTCAGACAGGGTTTTAGTCCTTACCCCATCACTACCTGTCTGATTCAGGGGAAGTTATTTAACCTCTGTGGCTTTCCATCTGTAAAAGAGGTATAAGCAGAGCTGCTGTGAAGATTAATTATTTAACAGAATTTAACACATAGTTAGAGCTTAGATACATATTTTATATACAAATATGTATGTTATTAATAAAATATATTGTTTTTTTAATTAAATTTATTTTTTAAATTGATTATGCTGTTACAGTTGTTCTATTCCCCCCTTCATTCCCCTCCACCCTGCCCCCCCAACCCCACCATTACCCCCCCTTTAGTTTATGTCCATGTGTCTCAAGTCCTTTAGGTTCTATATTTCCCCTGCTATTCTTGCCCCCCCCATCTATTTTCTATCTACTGTCTATGCTACTTATTTTCTGTACCTTCTCCCCCCATCTCCTCCTCCCACTCCCCTGTTGCTAACCCTCCTTGAGATCTTCATTTCTATGTTTCCACTCCTGATCTAGCTGTTCTTTTAGTTTGCTTTCGTTTTAGGTGTGGTTGTTAATAACTGTGAGCTTGTTGTTCTTTCACTGTTCATGTTTCTTTAACTTCTTTTTCTTAGATAAGTCCCTTTAACATTTCATATAATAAGGGCTTGGTGATGATGAACTCCTTGAATTTGATCTTATCTGAGAAGCACCTTATCTGTCCTTCCATTCTAAATGAAAGTTTTGCTGGATAGAGCAATCTTGGTTGTAGGTCTTTAGATTTCATGACTTGGAATATTTCTTTCCAGCCCCTTCTTGCCTGTAAGGTCTCTTTTGAGAAATCTGCTGACAGTCTGATG